TTGATATTCCCAGTTGCGTGCTACTTGCCACGAATGTCGCGCAAGAGTTATGTCTTGGTGTCGCCCATGATGTCTTTGTGCAAGCATGTTTGTTAATTGTTTTTTTGAGCACCTACGCCTTCGCCTTACCCATGAGCTGTTGAAGTAAGAACCCATCACAGCTCACACACCGCTGGCCGGGTGTGAGGCACGCTGCATGGGGTCGTGGTCCTGAGTGTTTTAGTGCTGCTGCTGCGAGCAGGCAGTGTTAATCCGAGGAATCTCGGACTTCTCAGGGCCAGCGCCCAGGTCCTTTGGGGCCAACGTGCTGGGCGCTTCAGCATATGACAGTGAGGCGATGGGCTACAGCGCTCACTGGAGGGCTTCCGGCACAGTCGGGTCGGGGTGTGTCCTCGCGCCGTCTTCAGTGCTGACTTGCAGCGTTGGCAGGGCAGGCCTACAGCATCCTACATCATCATCTCAGTGTTTGATCTCGCTTGCCGATGCGTTTTATCTATCAGAATAACCGATCGCCTCCAGTTGCGCTTGAGTTGATGGTTCCAAGATCCCACGCCTAAGACCCTAAAACCCTGGAGCGTCCCCAAAACCCAGAAAAGCGACAAGGGCGCAGAACCTGAGAAAGCAACCGGTTTCAGGTCCCCTCGGCGCTGGTGGTGGGCGTGGCCTTCGTTCAAGATCTGCACCTGCAGCCCAGCCCTTGGGCATGCGCGAGCCCTCGGGAGTTTTGCCTTCAGAAGCGCCTGCCTGACAGCGAAAATGCCCGATCTCGTAGCAGCCACAAAAGCGAAGTCCTTCTGCGAACGCAGCACAAAAAGAACAAGAAGAACTACGGGGAAAAAACAGCACGCATAGCCACAGCAACATGCGGTAGTTGTGTTGAGTAGTTGTCGATGTAAGGGTATTCGTTCTGGGAAGCCTTCATCCACAGGATGGAATCTCAAGTTCCTGCAGCCTTTCCCTCTGATGTCGTCCTTTTCTGTGGGAGTTGGCGGTCCTTCTGTCGAGGTTCTCGTCGCATCTGCACCGCGCTCTGATGAATCCCGAGAGGCAGGCTTGACGAGTCACGGTTAGGGTTTACTGTAGTCGGGACAGGTTTTCTCTTCGCATGCGTAGGGGCAGAGGTAGGTAGGTGTGTGCGTGTCTGTGCATTTTTGTTTTCAGGTCTCTATGTGTTTTTGTGTACGTTTGTTTGTGTGCGTGCGTGTGTGTTTGTGTGTGGTCGCGTGTGTTCGTGTGGTCGCGTCCGCTGCCATTATAATTGGAGGGGGAACAAACAAATCTGTAGATATGTAATTGGAAAACAACAAGGACAAATGATCACAACATATTGACTTTGTGTGCTGGTATGGTATATACTCAGATGCTGTGTATGGTGCCTCGAGGGATGTACTCACAATAATGCACACCTGATTATTCTGTCTTGCTTGCAATCAACGCTTCCAGTGCCCTCAGTTTGTTGTATTGCGTACATGTGTACATAGGCTGTATATCGGCATGAACAATGTAGAAGTGTTTAACATACGTACATGTATATACATACGAATGACATGCTTGTTTCCCGATGCTTGTTTGTTTACATCTTTGCTCACTATAGCGTTTGGTTGTTGATCTACACGAATACCTGTTTGTTGGTGACCAGAAGCATCGAGAAGCACTGTCTTTTCCTTGTTGCATATTGTATATATATATATGTATATATGCACATAATCATATATATATATATGTATGTATATATATATGTATGTAATGGAATGGAATGGAATGGAATCTATATGTACGTATGTATGTATGTGTCACGTCATGTGCAGCGGCTTTTTTCCACACACATGGAAGCAAGCACGTAGATGATACACATAGTCACATGGTCGTTGGGCATTCATTTCATGTTCGCTGTACTGGCTCAGCCTTCCGATGAGCTCGCATATGGTTACCTAGAAGTAACTAAGTAGCAAGAAATCAGTACGCATACTGCATACAAATTGTAGGAAGTGGAACTTTGTGTTGAAACCTCAGCAGTTTCTTGTCACTTCAATAACATTGCATTTCCTGTCAGGCCACAGCAGCTCGTTGAGATGTGTCAAGGGTGTGGCACCCAGATTTGGCCCGCCGAATCAAGACCTACGAGTTGTGCTGATGTAGGGCTGTCTTCGCGGGTTGTTCATGGAGTAACCTGTGAAAAACTTTGGCCCCGAAAGCGCCACGTGTTACGGTGCACTGCCGGGGTGTCCTGACACCTCGAAGTTGCCATGACTAGCAGAGCCCAATTGGAATCTCAGTTTTGGTGGTTTCGAGTGATATTGCAAAAACCATTCTGTCTAGGTTGAGGCTTCCCTCTGGGCCTTCATCTCTTACCTCCAAAGCTTCTTCAGATTCTCTTGGACATGGTGGCTGACCGGGCGATGGCCACGCTGCGCAAAGGCGGTCCATGAGGCCTGCGCGACGGCTTGGTCTCGTTCCTCTATTCCATCGCGAAGATACCGGCAAAAGTTGCAGTAGTTTTTCCTGTAGAAGCACAATATCAGTGTTCCATGTTTATCTAATTAATGTTCGATGAGTGGTTGCGCCAGCGTAGTATCCAGAAGCAACTTATGAGGGCTAGCATCGTGCTAGCATGTCAAATGTCTGATTCACCTAGCGTCGGTCGTTGTCGTGTTGTTGACTGGTGCCAGCTTCGCACAATGCTGTACCACTGCCATTGTATGGCCACAATACTTTTCGGACACGAACATCTGTAAGATTAACAAACAAAGCCCACTCCTGTGATTAACTTTTGACAGAATTACAGCCATGGAACCGGCAGCATAGCGAATGGATCCCCATCTACCTTGAAGGCCAGACACCATCAGCCTTCTAGTCTGAAAAGAGGCCGCCAGAAGCAAAGAACAAGAATTGAATGCAGGGTATACATGGGTGTACTATGCGCAAGATCGAGGTGCTTGTGCGCGGTTCTATAGATGTGGGCACCGCGAAAGGCAAATGTTGACCAGCCCACAAAGTTCTGTATAGATTGTCCAACATCATGGACACCTACCCCAAACTGAACCTGAACCCATACCCTCATCTCTGGCTTCCCTACTCGGTAGCACCCTAAGCCTCAACAGAACCCTAGGAGCCCACATCCCAACTTAAACCATAAACAAACCCAAGCTCTAGAAGCCCACCCTGGAGCACTAAAGCCATAGTGCACCCTAATCACAGTTAGTCTTGTATTCATTTGACACCATATGTGGCAGAAAGTATATGTTCATAAGCAAATCAGGAGGTAAACCAGCACATCTTATTTGCATGTATATATACATATATTCATATAGCTTCCTTGTTATGTTTATATATATATACACAGGCGTACATCCATACATCCATCCATACATACATACATACATACATACAAATGGATCTAGTAACCACTGCAGGTGACCACTTCGGGCGCCGCTTTGGGCTCTCTCTTGTCCTGGGAACACGTCGAGCCGGCTCTGGATTCTCTGGGTGAGGGCTTAGGGCTTTTGGGTTGTTGGCTTAGGTTTAGGGTTTGCCTTGATGTTGCACTGGAGCGATGAAGCCCGTGCCACACAGATGTGTGGAGTGCTCGGTGCTTCGCGGCATGCAGCATTGTGCCGGAACGATAGCTTTGGGGTTTGACATCAAGCGGAAGCGGTACTGGTCCGGGCTGGGTCGAGGGGCTTAGAAGTGACGCTGGGCGGTGACAGGTTAGTGTAGGGCATAGGTTGAGGATTTAATCAGGCCTTCTATGGATTTGTACGGGTTTACAGTGGGAATTCAGGGTGCAGAGGTAAGGCTTTGAAGTTTCCGGGTTGTGGGGCTTAAGGTTCCGGGTGAGGGAGACTTGTGTGTTTATGATTTAGGGTTTCTATCTGTTGATTGTATTTGTAGAGCTTGAGGGTTTAGTGCTTTGTTGATTTGATATGTCTGCTGTTTGTTTCCTGGTATCCCGTTTTAGGGCATCACGAGATAGGGCGTAGGTTTCTTCTCGTGGTAACTTTTTCAGAGGCATAGAAACGCACGGTCGAATCGATCGACTTTCGTGAGAACCGGTCAGAACCCTGTAAGTTTCTGGGTTCTTGTTAAGGGATTTAATTTAAGTTACCATAATAAGGAAACCCTATTATTTACTATAGATCCCTATTATGGTAACTTAAATTAAATCCCTTAACAAGAACCCAGGTTTTGCAAGATCCAGCGTCCATGGCAGGCCAGCTGCACACTCGCCCATGCACAGCAGTGGTCAGCATGGCTGTTTATCCTCTACGAGGCAGGGTTTAGGGTTTAGAGAGTTTAGGGTTTAGGGTTTAGAGAGTTTAGAGAGTTTGTCACAAACCAGGGGTCCTAGTTGGTAGCTAGACCCTGTTTTATCGCGAAGGTGACATTGGCATTCACCTTCTTGGACCGCTACGATTCACTGGTCACTCGTGGCCCTTCCTCGAACAAGGCAAGGCCATGTAGACCACAATGAAGCCTCAAAAGGCGAATTTAGGGTTTTTGGAGGTCGCCACATTAACTTACAGGATTGAATAACTCGTATCTGCTGATACTCCGTTTGTAGCTATACAACAATATACCCCAACCCCCCCTGTTGTAATCATGAAGGCCACCCCTATGTTAGGTCGTCTCTGTGTCTTGTTTCGGGTGCAGGGCTTTTGTGGAGCTACGAAGGATGCACGAGGACAGTGATGCTGAAGGTTCTAAATCACAGTAGCAGGACGTCACAGAGGGTTCTAGATCCGCATGTATGTGCAGATGAGAAAGAACATCAGAGAAACATTCAGCATGCAGCTGCAAAAACAGGATAGCAAGGCATACAGGGCCTGCCCCAATCTCTACAGTTCGATAGTGTGGCAAGCCTCTGCTCCTGCTTAGTGGAGACCTCTGAATACTAGCTTGTTCAAACCGACTGTGACTTGCACTGTTCAGCGCGTCCAGAAGCACTAAATCCTGCTCTGGAAATGCTGTCCGTGAGGGGCTCCGCTCCTCTAGTTAACGCATTCAATCTCAGTGATCTTACTCCCAAACATGGGTTGATTCGTGAGTGGGCTTCTAGACCGAAGATGAATCGCTGAACCTTCGCCTGCTTTTTTTGTCGCTACTGCGCAAGTGCTCTCCCCAAGCCCTAAACGCTATGTTCTGACCACAGGTGTTGAACAGCATGGCCTTTGTCACCCTCCTACTTCATCTGGTGGTGTCCTGCAGCATGGTGCTTTCCAGGCTCTGGGCTTAGTTAGGCGTTGGACGTTTCGACAATTTCGGGTCAGGATGCCGCCAGTTTCCCAATCAAGCCACTCGGGCCATTTACCTGATCGGAAATCCGGAGCTGGTTGTCTTTTCAGCTTGTCGGAGTATAGAATATTACAACATAAGATTTTATCATATAATGGAAATAAAAACATTATACTATATAGTCTATAGTCTCCAGAATGAGGCTTTCAGGTTTTGAGGATTCCTGCAACAGAGGTCGGTGGAGGTTTACGGCTAAGCCTTCCCTTGGCGTTCCAGAGCTTCGGGTTGGGGGTTCAGCCTTTTGTGGTTTAGGGATGTTTAGGGACTGAGGCTTAGCCTTCGATGATTTACTTAGGGCCTTTTAGGGTTCAGCCATTGCCGTGTTGGATGCTTCGGGCGTGGAGCTCTTCGATTAGGCCCCGGGCTTAAGGCGGGCTCTGTCTTCGCCCGGGCCGGGCATGGAAGATCCTTAAGCATCTCCTCCGCACGGGGTATCGGGAGCTTTCCGTCTTTACGTCGGTGAATGAATTGGTTGAGGGTGCTTTCTCGATTGGCTTTGGCGTCTGCAGGGACTATATTTCATCCGTTCGTAGCATTGGCCGACTACTCCTTCGGGTCTGGTAGCAAGGCACTATCAATTCCGTGTTGCCCTTGCTTACCGCCATCGCCCTGCCCCCCGCACCACGCTACAATCTACAACACTCTTTTCTACAAGCCTCACGATTAGTGCATATTATTCTGCATAATATTAACTAATCCCCTTCGTTCAGTCCTAAATTCTCTATGTGCTTCTTGGTTTTGTTATGTCGTGATACATTAATCCTTTGAACATCACAGT